TAGAGTGGCCCCAAGACTATTGTGGTTCATGGTTTCTGTCTTAAGATATGTCTATACTGAAGTGCCCCTATAGAAAACCAGAGAAGATTGGCTCAACTCTTATTCCATAATAGTAACTCATGTTATTTTAAATTATAATAAGTAAAACTAAAGTCAAATTCATCTGCTCCAAATCTGTGATTACTTAAATCTTACCTACTATCCTTCAGTAGACCATGAGGTGCTTCCTTTTATCTTGAAAATTGAACTCCCATGAAAATTATGTTTATTGTGATTTTTTCTTTTCTTTTATTTCTGGAATAAATTAGCATTTTCAATCTGTCTTCCCCAGAGTGCTGCTTCAAAAATGGAGCCATTCTTCTCATTAATTCTTGAAAAAGTTTTATAATCTTGAAGATAACCAGATGGACTACTTGGCCAATAGAATTTTATATTCCATTGACATAATCCAAAGCATTAAAAATTGCATCTCAAAATATGTACCACTTAGTTTCTCGATTTTATGTGGCCACGACAAGCCAATAGACCATTTCATGGAGGATTAAATTTTTCACCTAGATTGCGGTCAATGTTAGAGAACTTTATATTAGAAAAATCTGTGAGCATTTGTGAAATATTTTTAACATTTTGCTAGCCATTTCAATGCCTTTTATTAACTGTTATTTGATATATTTTTAATTTTTTTTTTCCACTGAAGCAGGGTCTCACTCTGTTGCCTAGGTTGAAGTGCAATGGTGCAATCATAGCTCACTGTAGCCTCAAACTCCTGGGCTCAAGCTATCTTCACACCTCAGCCTCCCAGGTAGTTGGGAATATAGGTGTGTGCCATTGCATTTAGCTGATGTTTTAATTTTTTGTGGAGACAGGCAACTCTGTTGCCCAGACTGATCTCTAATTCTTGGCCTTAAATGAGCCTCCCAAAGAGCTAGGATTACAGGCATGAGCCACTGCATCTGGCCCTCATTTTTTTTTTATTAAAGTCTCCATCCTTATGATCTGTAAGAGTCCCTAACATGTTGACTATTAATTCCCCTCCTTCCTGTCAAAAGTTTTGTAGATAGTTTCTCTAAATTATTTGCTTTTGTATTTTATCTGGCACATTTTTATATGTAACGTTTCAGTTATCTTTATTTATTTTGGTCCTTTCTCTTGTGCATTTTTTTTTATTGCTCTAATACTTGGAAAGTTTTCCTCTATTTCCAGCTCATATAAATAATTATTTATTTGGCTCTTAAATATCCATATAAAAAATTAAAACTAACCCGTATCTCACATTGTAGAAAAAATTAATGAAAATAGATCATAGATATAAATATCAAAGCTAAAATTATAAAATTTATAGGAGTAAGCATAGGATAAAACCTTTGTGATGTTGAAATAGGCAAAGATTCCTTGAAAACCAAAGTTTAAAAACAAACACCAAATTGTAAAATACAATAATTAGTTAATGGACTTCACCAAAATCATTCTCTTCAAAGACACTGTCAAAAACTTAAACTGCATGGGACATTTAAGGAAGAATATTTGCAAACTGTACATTAAATAAAGGACTTACATCAGTGATAAACACAGAACTCAAAACTTAATACTATGGGGCAGTGCCTGTGGCTCAAAGGGCACCGGCCCCATATGCCGGAGGTGGCAGGTTCAAACCCAGCCCGGCCAAAAACTGAAAAGAAAAAACTTAATACTATGTACACAAACAATGTAATTCAAATAAGGTCAAAATATTTAAACTAACACTTGACAAAAAAAGATGTACCAATGGCAAATATGCACATGAAATATGTTCACCATCACTAGTTATTAGGGAAATGCAAATTAAATCTATAATGAGCTAAATTTTATTTCCTTGCATAAAATTTTCAATGGCCTTAAGTCAAAGTATATTTGTTAATCATCTGTCAGTCACAGATCATTCCTTTTTCTGAGAATCTCTCAAAAGTGTTCACTACAAACAAGGCCTCTAGTTTTGAACCTCTTCTTTATACTTCCAATGTGCCATGTTAGTCCCACTGGCACACTGTACTTGGCCGACTGGTTCTCATTCATCAAGGCTCAACTTAATTATGCAGGAATTAGGAAGCTTTATTTATCCTATGCCTTTTGCCCCATCAATAGGAGGGCTATACATTCCTTTTCTGTAGAAAATATATTCTAATTGATATTTTACTTTTTTCTCTCTAGTGCTGACTCGTAGCATATTGAAGGCAAGGAATGTGTTTTTCATTTCTATTTACCACACCAAACATAGCGCCACATGTATGAGCATTAAGTGAATGTTTATTGAGTGGCCTAGGAAACTGTAGATAAGTTCCTTTCATCTGCCAGCACAGCCAGATGTGGTATCAGCTTTCAAATCTAGCTCAATTCAACGAGCACTTTATGTATCTATTTATTTTCTTTTTAAGAATAAATATTTCCTTCATTTAAATAACTTTACTGTGAAAATTTTCAAAAATAAAAGTACAGAGAATAAAATAATGAATTCACTGGCTCGGCACCCGTAGCACAGTGGTTGCAGTGCCAGCCACATGCACCAAGGGTGGTGGGTTCGAACCCAGCCAGGCCAGCTAAACAACAATGACAACTGCAACAAAAAATAGCTGGACATTGTGGCAGGTGCCTGTAGTCCCAGCTTCTTGGGAGACTGAGGCAAAAGAATCGCTTAAGCCCCAGAGTTTGAGGTTGCTGTGAGCTGTGATGCCTCAGCACTCTACCAAGGGCAACAAAGTGAGTCCCTGTCTCAAAAAACAATAAAACAAACAAACAAAAAAATAATGATGATGAATGCACTATGCCCATCAGCCATTCTTACAAGCATCCTGCTACTCTGGCTTCATCTATGTTCCCCCCACCTTTTTCCCTAGTAGTTTAAAATAAATTCCACAAATCATATTGTTTTGCCCATAAACAGTTCCTCAACTAGATAAACAATTTATCTTGACAAACCACAGTGTATTTCTTGCTTTTATTCTAAATGTATTCTACTTTTTCTTATAGTGCCTATAACTATAGGCATTATAATTATAAATAATTCTGCTATATCCTTTAAAATGTCTGACTACTAGTCTTCCTCAGGCTTTACTCTGAGATTTTTTTTCCTCTCTCTCTTCCTGAGTACGTTGACTTTCTTAAATTGTGCTAAAGTACATATAATATAGAATTTCCTATTTTTAAGTGTACAGTTCAGTAGCGTTAGATACATTGACGTTGTTATGCAAACTATCTCCAGAATTCTTTTTCTCTATTAAAAACAAAACTCTGTGCCCATTAAACAACAACTCACTTCTCCCTCTCCCAACTCCCTGGAAACCACCCTACTTTTTGGGTATATGAATTTGACTGTTCGAGGTAACTCATATAAGTGGTATCAAATATCTGGAAGACAAATATAGCACTTGTCTTTTTGTGACTGGCTTTTTTCACTTAGTCTAATGGCCTCAAGGTTTATCAGTTCTATAGCATGTTTTAGTATTTTCTTCATTTTTAAGGCAGAGTAATATTCCATTGTGTGAATAGATCTCATTTTGTTTACCCATTCATCTGACAGTGGGCACTTAGGTTGCTTCCACCTTTCGGTTACTGTGAACAGTGCTGCCATTGATACGGGTTTATAAATGTCTCTTTAAGACCCTGCCTTCAGTTCTTTTGGGTATGTACCGAGATAGAATTGCTGGATCATATAGTAATTCTATTTTTAATTTTTTGAGGAATTATCTGACTGTTTTCCACAGGGCTGCACTATTTTATCTTGACACACAAGATTTCCACTATCTCCAAATCCTTGCCAGTACTTTTCTAGATAGAAGCTATTCTAATGGGTATAGGCTAGGATAAACACTTTTTATTATTTTTTTAATATTAAAAAGTAAATTTATTTCAGGGTAATGTGAGGGTACAAATAACCAAGTCAAAATGTTTGATTTTGTTAGGTAGAGTCCCTCTTATGGTTATGTCCCACACACAAAAGGGATAAATATTTTTTTAAAATGGTTATGATACTCCAGTATCCAATAACAAATATTAATTCCTTTATATCATCTAATAAAGAAGGGGTTTCTAACATGTTCTTCCCACAGTCTTTCTTATATTCTTATCCTGTGATTTCCATAAATCAGAATCTTTGGAGCCACCATTGATTCCTCTCTTGTCTCCTCTCACATCCAATTTCTTAGGAAATCTCAAAATATACCTAGGACATCCCCCACCCCATACAGACACGTCTCACCCTTCAGCTACTTCCAACACCTTAGTCCAAGCCTACCATCCTCTTTCCCTGATGAATCATTTCAAGAGCCTTCCAAGAGATCTCCCTGTTTGTTTACTCTTACCTCTTTTCAATCTGTTCTCAACTCAGCAACCAGTACAATCCTGTTAAAACAAATCTGAGACTGTAATATTCCTTGAGGCTCAATGCTTTCTAATGGTTCACCATTTCACACTCAGAAAAAAATCAAAGCCCGTCCAGTGGCCTATGAGTCATTAAAAGAGCTGAGTCTGAGTTACCTACTTAAACTCATATCTTATAACTTTCCCCTTAGTTCATTCTGCTTCAGTCACTGGTGCCAGCCTGGTGTTCTTGAACACACTACCATGCTCCTTCCTTAGTAAGGGCCTTTGAACTTACTCTTTCCCTTGTCTAGAATGTTCCATCCCCTGAAATCTGCTGAACTTACTTCCTAAGTCCTATGACATGTGAGCTCCACAGGGAGGTCCTCTCTTAACACCTTTTTAAATGGAAATCAACTCCCTAATTGAGGGGAACTCAATTCCCCTCCCTAGCTGTATTTTATCCTATAAACATTATCATTATCTGACATACTATGTATATTTTACTTATTTACTTGTTTATTTTCTGCCCACTGTCATTAAAGTATAAGCTTCAGATAAGCAAAGGATTTTAGATAAAACCCTTTGCATATAATAATGCTTGGTAAATAATTGTTGAATAAGTACAGTTCATATATCTGTACATTATTTTTGTGGTTACTTCCCAGATCTGCATCACAACTTAAAAAGCAAAATGAAAGAATGCACATCTTTCCAAAGCAAGAAGACTGGCATAAATTGGACAGATGATGAGAAAAGAATCTACAGGAATAACAGAATAGTTCAAACTCAAGCAATATTGCAATATTTGCTCCCTATCACTGATAGTACTAAAAACATCCAAACCACTCAGATAAAACAGCCATTCTATCCAAGAACCAACTTCTAAATCCAAAATCAGTAAGTCAGTAAAATTTTATCATTCTTAGCTATTAAATACATTCTCTCATAAGGAAGCATTCTTTTATTATTATTATCTTAAGAAATGAACATAAGCTCTTGAAGATGGTGTCAGCTACACCTCATTCAACTAAGGGACAAAGGCCAAGAGCCATCAGAAAATGCTAGATAAGTGAAAGAGTTAAGTTAGCAGGCCTTATTGGATTATTATTTGCATGAAATTGCTTACTAATTTGGATCTATAAATAAAATATGCATAAATAAAATATGATCATTGACTAACATGAAAATTTCCAGGTGTTTTTAAAGCTTATACTCTGGGGACAACCAGAATTAAAAATGATTAACCTGAACTACTTTGGTTTATTTAATACTCAGAGAAAAGCAGAAGAGCATGATGAGAACAGAGTCCTTTTTTTGAGACAGAACTTCACTCTGTTGCCCCAGATAGTGTACAGTGGCACAGACATAGCTCACTACAGCCTCAACCTCCTGGGCTCAAGAGATCCTCTTGCATCAGCCTTCCAAGTAGCTGGGACTACAGAGGCACACCTGGTCTTGAACTCCTGACCTCAAGCAATCCTTCCACCTCAGCCTCCCAAAGTGCTAGGATTACAAGTGTGAGCCACCATGCCTGGCCAGATTTCTTTTGAAAACAAAAAACAGAAACATTTCTAAGGCCAAAAGGAAACACATGTAAATAAAACAGCAAAAAACTAAAGTAACAAATAAAATACTAATATTATCAACAAATTTTAAAAAGTACTTCCCACGTCCTAGACACTGTTCTAAGTTATACACATGTGTGCTTTACATTTTACATGTGAGAAAACTGAGGTGCAAAGAGGTTAAGTAACTTGTCCAAAGCTACACAATCCAACAGGTAGCAGAATCTGGATTCAAATCCAACTCAACATTCTGACTCCAGCATCCTTCTGAATTGCATCATTATGTTTTGCCATTTCTCTTTATAACACAAGTGATAAACAGGATCAACATACTTACTAAACAAAGAGTGCCTGCAAAGAAACTAGAACATTATGACTATTTTAAAGGAAAATTGGCAAAGGCTATAAATGAGCAATTCAGAAAAGAAAAAAAGTGTTCAACTGCACTTAAATCCAAAGACTGCAAATTAAAACCATAAAGCAAAACCATTCGTGTTTTCTTCTCAATGGAAGAATTAATTCTCTGACAATGGGAATATAAACTGGTACAGTTTCAAAAGTCAGTCCACTATAAATGAAAAATCTTCATTTTAACCGAGATATTCCACTTTTAGAAATTGATCCTAAGGAATAAACCTAAATAAAGGTTAAAAGGTTTGTGTGACAGTGGTATCCTACCTGTGACCCACAGGCCACAGGCTAATTTTGTGAGGATATTTTTGCTTATCTGTGGTGTCAGATATGAAAATTATGTGTGGACTATTTTTTTACTAATCAGTTTTTGTTAGTGTTTATGTATTAAATGTGTAGCCCAAGACAACTCTTATTCTTCAGTAAGAAAGGGGCAGAGAAAAAAAAGTTTGGGCCCTCTGGAGAGGGATGTAAGGCTATGCATGGGAACAGAGGAGGAATTCAGCCAGGCCTCAAAACTATGGAATGAAAAACTACCTTTATCCATTGTCAGTCTCTGCTTTTCTCTCTCTTAGGAAAAGTTTTAACATCCTTTAGCTCATAAATTTTCCTACTGCAGTTTCACTTATAAGACTGACTCCCTTGGCTCGGCACCCATGACACAGAGGTTATGGCACCAGCCACATACACGGAAGCTGGCGGGTTCAAACCCAGCCTGGGCCAACTAAACAACAATGACAACTGCAACAAAAAATAGCCGGGTGTTGTGGTGGATGCCTGTAGTCCCAGCTACTTGGGAGGCTGAGGCAAGGGAATTGCTTAAGCCCAAAAGTTTGAGGGCGACATACTGAGACTCTTGTCTCAAAAAAAAAAAAAAGACTGACTCCCTTTCATTCCCAATTCTAAATAGTAGGAAAAGATAATCTGATTGGGAACCATGCCAATGGGTAGAGCTCACCTGGTTACAGACACAGCTATTGGAAGCCTTACCCTTGTGGATCTGGAGGCAATCTTCAGAAAAGGGCAAATTGTTCCTGGGGCAGACATTCCCAAAAGTATTTAATATAGGTGTATATGGAAATACTAAAAACAGGAAAGCCATCCTTAGCAAATGATCTCACAGCATACTTAAACACTATTAAGTTGATTTTTTTGTTCTTACAACTTATTTCCTATGCCTACCTTTTCTCTGTTTTATATATCCTTTGTTTGATACTCTTACATAGTTTTACCTATAATAAGTAAGTTCAGAGTAAAGTGAGAATAAGCAAAGAGAATGAGAAGATAACACTTTCGCTAAACCATCCTGGACATCAGCCCAAGTTTAGGTTAAGGAGAAACTGGTTAATGTGTCACAATGTTTTGCAGAACTATCATAGTGAAGGATATAAGATATAATATAGAACTTGAATTGTATGTTCTAATCTTAAGCCAAAATAAATAGGGTCTAGGTAGATTGACTAGCATGTTAGCAACAAGGATTCATATCCCTTAATTTCTGGTCAAATGTTGATTAAAGTTCAAATACTGAAGAATAAATCTAATGTTTGGCATTCCATTTGGTAATGGTGAAAATTCTTAAGAAAGAATTATGCAAATCAAAACGCAACTGGAGAGATTTTCACTTTTAGGAAGATGAAGTAGACATGTTTTCCATTTTCTTTCCACTAAAGACAACCAAAAACTCTGGACATGTAAAACAAACATAAGACAACTCTGAAAGGTGGAAAAAAGAAAGCAGACTAACTAAGGACTCCCAGAATCAAGAAATGATGCACTGGCAAGTTGCCTGGGTTTTCTTTTTGCCTCGTATATGAAAGATTTGGAGCTGAAGAAGCCAGCAACCTGAAAACACCAATGGGCACGGACACATGCATAAAAAACTCTAATAACCTATGCCGTATAACCATAGGATCAAGAAAGACACAGCCTGCCAAGATAGAAACTTTTTAGACAATAGCCACTATACTCCAGCCAAACATCACTGATAAACAGTGGTCCCATTCCCACCTATGTAAGTAGAGGCAGAGTGAGGGGCCTCCATGTCCACTCTTATGAGGTACATCAAGACATCTCAACACCCTGCCCACTCTTACAAGGACAAGGCATCTCAGCATCCTGCTTAGAGTGGTGTCAAAGAGGGTCAAGTAGAAGCCAGAACTTTAACCTCCATTGGCCTCTAAAGAACCCTCCCCTACTGCAGTATATCACTGGAAGCCAAATGGGGAGGCCGGACTCACACACTTACTGGACAGAAATGAGGTGCGTCTTCCCCTCCCTGCTGGATTAGTGTCAGAGGAGGCCTAATGAAGAGGCAGGACTTTCACCAATACCCAGAAGCAATGAAGCTACCCCCACAGCAGTGTCAGTGGGGGCTATGTGTGCAGATGAGCTCTCACATCAGTCCAGTGGTAATTAGGAGCCTCTTTTCTGGGACAAATAGAGTTAAGTGGGAACCTGGACTTCTACTTTCATCAGTCAGTAAGGAGGTCTCATTGCCCCACCACCCTTGTGGATCAGAATCACAAAAAAGCCTGCTGAAACAGAAGGTTTAAATAAGATCTAGAGTCTCATAACATAATATGAATATGTACATGTTTAATTCAGAAATAAATTGTCATACTAAGAACCAGAAAGATCTAAAACTGAATAAAGACAAACACTGAGATGACAGTGATGTTAGAATTTTCTCACAAAAAATTTTAGAGCAGTCATGTTAAAAATGCTGCAGAAAACATTTATAAAAAAATGAAAAAAATAACCTCAGAAAAGAGAGTGAGAAGAAAGAAAAGAGGTTAATAAGAGCCAAACGGAAGAATGGAAGAAAAAATATCCAATGTACACAGCCCTATTATGAAACTAATTTATAGTTCTCAAATGAAAGCTACAACCTAATTCTAGCCCAAGAATATGGGGAGGGGGTGGGGGAGGGGAGGGGAGAAGGGCAGATGGGTGGTGGGAGGGTGACTGGAAAGATCACCTATATGGTCTGTCTAACAAGGGTACAAGTGAACTTTTCTAGAACTAGAGTATAAATGTTTTAACACAATAAGTAAATGACACAAAGTCTATGTTAACCAGTTTGATGAAAATATTTCAAATTATATATGAAAACACTACACTGTATTTCATGTTTGCATTAATGTATACAGCTATCATTTAATAAAAAAAAAAAGAACCAAATGGAAATTTCTGAATTGAAAAACATAATAACTGAAATATAAAAAGCTCAGCGACTGAGCACAACAGCATATTTAGGAAGACAAAGGAAAGATTTAGTGAACTTAGATAGAAAAATGGAAATTACCATCAGAGAGAAAATAGACTAAAACTTAATAGGCCCTTAGGACGTGTAGGACTATAAAACATAAGGACGAGAAAAAGACAAAGGTAAAAAGGAACTCAAAGACATAAGGGCTGAAAGTTTTCCAAATTTGGCCAGAGACACATCTATAGACCAAAAAGCTGAGCAAACCACTAACAAGATATCCAAAGAAATCCATGCCAACACACACCAAAATTTAAGTTTTGGAAACTGAAGAAAGAGAAAAAAAAATGAAAGCAGACAGAGAAGAATGACATCTATTCTACAGGGGAAAAAACAATGTAAAAGACAGTGGATTTCTCATCAAAATTTATGAAGGCCAGAAGAAGTAGCACATTATTTATAATTATTGAAAGAAAGGAACTGTCAGCCTAGAATTTTATACCCAGTGAAAATAAGAGGAAAATCAAGAAATGTTCAAATGAAGGAAAACTAAGAGAATTTTTCAACAGGAGATTTATAGTAAAAGACTGGCTAAGGGGATATCTTTAAATGGATAGGGAATAATAAAAGAAGGAAAAAAGAATAAATCCAAAGCAAGCAAAAGAAAGGTAAAAATCAAGAGAAGAGAAGAAATTCACAAAATTTAAAACAGGAAAATGTCATAGAAAATCAATGAAACAACTAGTTCTTTGAAAGGATCAATAATATTAACAGACTTTTAGCAAGACTGACAAAAAAAGAAAGAAGATACTAATATAAGGAATAAAATTAAATTTCTCTGAATATCCTGCATACAGGAAAATACTACAAACATGCAAATTTGACAAGTTACAGAAAATAGATCATTTCCTCAAAAAACACAAACTACCAAAACTCGCTCAATACAGAATGTAATTTTTGAATTTCTCTGTATTTTAAAAAATCATAATTTTAAGATCCCCCTAAAAAGAAGTCTCCTGGCCCAAACTGAACTCATAATTTTAAATTTCCAACAAAGAAATCTATGGTTTTATAGGACAATTTTACCAAACATTTAAGGAGGAATTAATACCAACTCTATGTAATTTCTTAAAGAAAATAGAAGTTATCAGTTCATTTTATGAAGGTACTATTAGCCTGATACTAAAATCAGACAAAGACTAAAAAAGAAAACTATAGAACAAGATTTCTCATAAATATAGATTCAAACATCTAAATCTAAAAAATATTAGGAAATAAAATACAGCACTAAATAAAAACAATTATATACCATGACCAAGTGAGGTCTATTTCAGAAATTCAAATTTGGTTTCATATTCAAACATCAATCAGTGTAGTCCCCCATATCAGCAGGCTAAAGGAGAAAAATCACATGATCATATTAAATGGCATAGAAAAAAACACTTTGCAAACTTCAACATCCATTCAGGATAAAAATTCTCAGAAAAAAAAACAGAAGTAGAAGGGAAATTAACTTGATAAAGTTCACTCTTAACAATCTAACTGACCATTGTGGCAGAAGTTCCAGCCACTGCAATAACACAATAAAAAGACATAAGTATAGAAATCAGAAAGGAAGAAATGGTTCCTACTTGTGAAAGATGTTATTCTTTACATAGAAAATCCAAAAAAAAATTTCCAAAAACACAAAAAACCTTCTAAAACTAATAAGCAGATTCTGCTAGGCCTTAGAATATGAGATAAATATACAAAGTTTGTTGCATTTCTATATATAGCAATGAACATGTGGACACTAAAATCACAAATATAATCTGTGCCACTTACAATCTCTCCCCAAAATGAAATATTTATTTGTAAATCTCCAAAATACGTGCAAGGCTTGTTTGCTAAAACTACATGGCATGAATAAGAGAAATCAAAAAGATCTCAGTGAATGGAGAAACAGAACATGGTCATGGATTGGAAGACTCAACACAATAAAGTTGCTAGTTCTGGCTGGGCATGCTGGTTCACACCTATAATTCTAGCACTCGGGGAGGCCAAGGCCTGAGCTCAGGAGTTCAGGACCAGCCTAAGCAAAGCCAGACCCTGTGTTTAAGACTCTGTCTCAAAAAAATGTTAGTTCTTTCCAAATTGATATACAGATTCAACATGATTCCTATTAAAACTCCAGCAAGACTTTTTATCCAGCAGATATAGAGAAGATTATTCTAAAATGTGTATGCAAAGGCACTAAATTAACAAAAATGGGTTTGAAAAAGAAGGGTAAAGTTGGAGGCATCAGTGTACCTGCATTTAGGATCTTTTGTATAGCTATGGTAATCAATCCAGTGCAGCACTGGAGGAGGAATAGACACAGACATTAATTCCATGGAAAAAAGAGTCTTTTCAACAAATGGTGCTAGAACAATATAGGCCGAAAAAATGAACTTTGACCTACACTCACATGTTATATAGAAATTAACTCACAATGGACATAAAACTTTTAGAAAAAATAAGGAGAAAATTTTCAGGATCTAGTGCTAGGCAAAGCGTTCCTAGACTCGATGCCAAAAGCATGATTCATAAAAGGATAACTTGGTAATTGGACTTCATTAACATAAAAATGTTTGCTCTGTGAAAGACCTTGTTAAGAAGATAAAAAGCCAGGCTGTAAAATAGGAGAAAACATTGGCAAACCACAAAAATAAAAGACTACTATCCAAATTAAAGAACTCTCAAGATTCAACAGTTAGAAAACAACATTTTGTTTAGAAAATGGGCAAAAGACACAAACAGACATTTCATCAAACAGAATGTACAGGTGACATATAAGCACATGAAAAAATGTTCAACTTTGGACAGTGCCTGTGGCTCAGTGGGTAGAGTGCTGGCCCCATAGAGTGAGGGTGGCTGGTTCAAACCTCGCCCCGGCCAAACGGCAACAAAAAAATAGCCCGGTGTTGTGGTGCGCTCCTGTAGTCCAGCTACTCGGGAGGCTGGGGCAAGAGAATCACTTTGGGCCAGGAGTTGGAGGTTGCTGTGACCTGTGTGATGCCATGGCACTCTACTGAGGGCAATAAAGTGAGACTTTGTCTCTACAAAAAAAAAAAAAAAAATGTTCAATATCACTAGCCACATTCCCTTAAAGTCAGGGGGAAAAATGTATATAACTAGCCATTAGGGAAATGCAAATTAAGTCCACAATGATATATCACTTATCAGAATATCTAAGATAAAAAATAGTGGCAACAAGGGCTCAACTACAACTTAAACTTTACCTTAGAAATGCAAACAACATAATCATTTGTATCCTCATATGAGTTTGAAATAAAAATAAATAAAAATTAAAAACAAAAAACAGCAACATCAAATTCCAGTGAGGATGCAGAGAAACTGGATCACTCCTAAATTGTTGGTAGAAATGTAAAATGGGGCAGCCATTGTTTAAAACAGTTAAAAACTAAACATGTAACTACCATAACACCTGACAATCCCTCTCCTGGGAATTAATCCCAGAGAAATGCAGACTTATGTTCACACAGAAAAGCCTGTACACAAATGTTTATGCACTTTTATTTCTGATAGTCATACTGGAAACAATCCACATGTCCTTCAGTGGATCAGTTAGTAAACAAGCTATGGTACATCGTGCCATGAATGTCACAATAATAAGGAATGAAATACGGTCTGGGTGAATCACCAGAGAATCATGCTGAGTGAAGAAAAGCTGATCCCAAACAATTACATACAGTATAATTTTGTCTATATGAGTCTTAAAATAGCAAAATAATATAATTGGGACAACAGACTAATAGTTACCAGGAGTCAAGGAGGGGCTGGGGAAGGAGGGAAGTAGGTACTATAAAGACAACATGAGGACACTGTGCTGTATCTTGACTACATTGATGGCAATGTACTCTTCTATAGTTCTGCAGGATACCGCATTTGGAGAAAACTCGGTGAAGAGTACTGTATTATTTTTTCCAAATGTACATGACTCTGCAACTATCTCAAAATTTTAAAGTTTAATTAAAAATATAGTCAAAATTCTGTGGTCGAAAACTAGAATTCTAACAAAAACCTGACAAACTCTAAATGACTGTAATTAGTAATTTATAAAACTTCCCTCTCTTGAGTAAAGCTCCTTTCTCTTAGACTCATATGTGTGCTGATCATTTTACTGGTTATAGAAAAAAATCTTATAGCATGTATACTGAATCTATTATAATAGAATAAACAGAATAGACTTTTGGAGCAAAGTAAAATTTTAGAGACCATCTACTATAAGTAAATGTACAGATAAGGCGCTAAGGCCTAGAGTTGCTATTATATAAGTAAGAAGGCTGGGATCAGGGCAGGAATCCAAATAAACATCCTCTAGACATTTAGAAATACAGGATCGTGCTGAAATACAGAAATAATGCTGAAAAAATCATGATCAGAGATAAAGACTTAGACACGATGATAAAAGCCTTCAGGATGAATTCACCAAAAAGAAAAAATGTCATTTATACTAAGAATATACTGAGGACTACAAAGTGGTTGCATGGTGGTCAAAAACTCACATATTTCATTTCTTTTCTAGACCAAAGCCAGCTACTTGCATAAATATAAAGAGATACAGCCTATCCTGGACACCACCCAGAAACCACCCTTTTATAACCCAAAGGAATCTTATGCCAAACTCTTCAGAATGGCTCCAGTCTATACCGAATAGGTCATTTGAAAGTATGTCACTTCTCAAAAGCCCCAAGAAGAGGAAAAAACATTCTCCAATAGAGGCCACAAAGAATGAAGACATGAAGCCTCTCAGTAGCAAACGGGAGACTGCTCCTTCAAGTTTTGAAGTAGATGCAAATATTATAAAAAATGAGAGTCTTCAAGCTGAAGAACCCAACCAGCAAAGCCCTAGGCACGTATCCTCCCATCTAACTAAAAATAAGGATGAACAGCTAAATAAGAGTGATGAACAGCCCCTCTTCCATCTGAAGTTGGAAAGAAACAGTTAATCTGGCTTGTGTGCTGTTCTATAAACTGTGGATGAAAGATAACATATGCCTACACAGTAAGCAGGAAACAAGCCCGCCCCTCCCCCTTCCCTAGTCCTCCTCCTCCACACGCATATGCTAAATTACAAATTCTACATATCCCATCTTCCTTAATGGGAATGCTTTTCAGAAATTTAAAAGAAATCCAGAGAAAATACAGAAAATTTTAAAACACTTAGATATTTATACTTAGTTTTTGTCAACATGAAAAAAAAACTCTGAACTTTTGATTTCTTCCAAAATTACTTACTAGATCAGAATACTAAGAACTAAGGAATGGCATGCACTATATCACTGATTTCCCTACAAGGCACTTCCATAAATCAGTCAACAAACATCATTTCCCAAGTTTTTGTTATATGGTTGGTATGCCAAGAACCATAAGTAATATAAAAAGACATTCCTCTCCATTATAAGATTATCATATAATTGTGCAGATAAAACATACATGGATTAAATGATTACAGAATTTAAAAAGTGCATAGTAAAGTGTTAAGTTATGCACCTCCAACAGTTAGAGAAAATTACTGTATATTAAAAGATGCTAATTGCACAGAGAAATTTGTGATATAAAATGACACTGAAATGCATAGACTATGATTTTAAATCATTATTTTATTCTCAAAATTTAGTTAAGATGTACAGTTTTCTTTAGAGCAAACTAGTGTGCATCTCCAGCTGTTAATTACTATGGACACTCTGGAGCAAATCCAGCGCCTCCCAGTTTGCCATTCATAAGGCAATGAGATCTGGGAGGGATTCCTAAAGGACACACCAGGGAACAGGTATGTCAGGCAAAGAGGTCAAGATGCATGTAGTAAGTGCAAGGACAGAGTTAGCCACTAGCATCTTGGGTTAACAATGCCATCCATTACAGGACGAGGTTACACAAAAAAGTATGAGTTGGGTGAGGTGCCTTAAAAGTGCAGGTCTTGGCTCAGCGCCAGTGGCTCAAGTGGCAAAGGTGCCAGCCACATAAACCTAAGGTGGCGGGTTCAAATACAGCCCAGGCCCACCAAACAACAATGATGGCTGCAACCAAAAACTAGCCAGGCATTGTGGTGGGCGCCTGTGGTCCCAGCTACTTGGGAGGCTGAGGCAGGGGACTCGCTTGAGCCCAGGAGTTGGAGGTTGCTGTGAGCTGTGATGCCACAGCACTCTACCCAGGGGGACAGCTTGAGGCTCTGTCTCCCAAAAGAAAAAAGTTCAGGTCACAAGCCTAATCCAGGTGGGTGGAGCTAGGAAGACCTTGGTTGGATGATCTACTCACAATAATATTTCTGGTAGCTAAAGAGGGTTCAAGGAGAGCTATCAAAACATGAAAAGAGTACCCATTATGTTTTAAAGAACCTTGACCATAGATTTCCCCAGGAATCTTTAACAACAGTGGGAAATAGCTATCTTCTAAATAAATTAGCCTATGCTTTGGTGATAAGTACTCCAGTCCTCAGAAGATCCCCCAACCTCTGGCTCAAAATTTTTATTTCAGTGGTTCTGTGGGGCAAGAACAGGGTCACTTCCCTTCTGGGATGGATGCCCTCTTCCAGAAAGGTGCTGAGGCTTGAAAAAGTAGGAGAATAATGTTCTGGATCATCGAATTTTTTTTTTTTTTTTTTGAGACAGAGTCTCACTTTGTCACCTTTGGTAGAGTGTTCTGGCCTCATAGCTCACAGCAACCTCAAACTCCTGAGCTCAGGCAATCCTCTTGCCTCAATTTTTTCTATTTTTTTAGTAGAGATGGGGTCTTACTGTAGCTCAGGCTGGTCTGGAACTTCTGAGCTCAAGTAACCCACCCACCTCAGCCTCCCAAAGTGCTAGAATTACAGTCGTGAGCCACTACACCTGGCTGGCTCATAGCATTTATTGCAGCTGACATCAGGATGGAGTAACAGCTCTCAAAATTCAGTTTCTGCTTGTCCTTACAGATCAGGACAAAAACCTAAGCTCCAGGGAAATATTGATCATTTGAACCTTCAATTGTCTTAGAGTTTGAAATTGCAGATTCTGGATTGATTATCTTCATAAATAATAATAACAACAACAAAGTGAAAAGGCAGTTTTGGGAAGATTTAAGGGTACAGAGATGTTGCCTAAACATTTTCCTTAGTCCTTACCTATACTTGCTCTCCTTCTATCTTATCATTTGATATAAATATTGTATAAGATGCTGTCCCTAAAGTAGGAAGATGTGTAGGCCACTTCCCCACACTGGACTTCACGCTATAATACGTTTTGTTTCCTGAACATGCTCATAAAGGCCATTTATTGTCCTTGCCCAGCATTCTCACACCTTGCAAGCTCCTACTTCTTTAAGATTCAAAGCAAGGGCTAACATCTCAAAAAAATCTTCCCTAGACACCCCAAGGAATTTAAAACAGCTATGATTAAGTCTTTCTTTTTTTATATTATTTGGGATTCATTGAGGGTACAAAGAATTAGGTCACAATGATTGCATTTGTTGGGTAAAGTCTCTCTTATAATTGTGTCCTGCTCCCAAGAGGTGTTCCATCCACCATGACCCCACCATCCCCCTTCCTACTGCCCTCTCCCCACTTGCTCATTCCCCCACCCCACCTGGTATTAGCTCATCTACTGCCTTCATATTAGAATAGAGTACATTGGATTCTTGCTTCTCCATTCTTGTGATGCTTTACTAAGAAGAATGTGGTCTGCCTCCATCTAGGTTAATACAAAAGATGTAAAGTCTCCAACTTTCTTAGTGGCTGAATAGTATTCCATGGCATACATATACCACAACTTATTAATGCATTCCTGGGTTGGTGAGCATTTAGGCTATGTCCACAATTTAGTGACTGTAAATTGGGCTGTGATAAACAGTCTAGTGCAAATGTCCTCAGTGGTTGGGGCACCAGCTACATGCACCGGGCCTGGTGGGTTCAAACCCAGCTCGGGCCTGCTAAAAAAACAAAAAATAGTGGGGCATTGTGGCGGGCACCAATAATGCCAGCTACTTGGAAGGCTGAGGCAAGAGAATTGCTTGAGCCGAAGAGTTTGAGGTTGCTGTGAGCTGTGACACCACAGCACTCTACCGAGGGTGACAAGTGAGACTCCATTACAAAAAAAAAAAATCTTTCCCCAGGCCAATATCTTCAAGTGTTTTCCCCACACTTTCTCCAAGGATGTTATTGTCTTATGCCTTAGATTTAATTTTTTTATCCATCTTGAATCAATTTTTGTAAGTGGCGAGAAGAGTGGATCCAGTTTTAGTCTTTTACATTTGGTTTCCAGCTCTCCCAACACCATTTATTGAATAGGGATTCTTTTTTACAGTGTATGTTCTTGTTTGGTTTATAAAAAAATAGGTGGCTGAAAGATGTGAGTTTCATCTCATGGTTTTCTATTCAGTTCCAAATGTATATGTCTCTATTTTTGTGCCAATACCATGCTGTTTTGATCACTATGGTCTTGTAATATAGCCTAACATCTGGTAGGGTGATGTTCCTGGCTTTGTTTTTATTACTAAGAATTGCCTTGGCTATATGAGTTTTTTTCTGGTTCCATACAAAATGAAGACCTATCTTTTCCAAGTCTTGAATGTATGATATTGGTATTTTAATGACAATTGCTTTGAATCTGTAGATTGCTCTGGGAAGTTTAGACACTTTAATAACGTTGATTGTTTCCAGCCATGAGCATGGTATGTTTTTCCATTTGTTAATATCTTCTGCTATTTCTTTTCTTAGGGTTTCATAATTTTCTTTGTAGAGGTCCTTCACCTCTTTTGTTAGGTATATTCCTAGATATTTTTTTTTTAAGAAGCTACTGTGAAGGGAATTGTGTCCTTGATTAGCTTTTCATCTTAGCTTTTACAGCATATACAAAGGCTGCTGATTCGTGGACATTGATTTTTATATCCTGAGACATTACTGTACTTTTTATCACATCAAGGAATCTTGTGGTTCAGTCTTTGAGGTTCTATGATGAGATCATATCATCAGCAAAGACCAAGAGTTTGACCTCCTCTGACCCCATTTGGATGCCCTTTATTTCTTCTCTGGCCTAATTAGTACTGGACAGTAATTGGCTCTGCTCCTCACACTATTTTGTCTGATTCCAGTTCTAAGTGGAAAAGCTTTCAGTTTTATACCATTCAGTATAATAGTAGCTGTGGGTTGCATAGATGGTTTCAATCAATTTAAGAAATGTGCCATCTATACCTATATTCTTATGTGTTCTAGTTAGAAAAGACTCTGCCTCTGTAGATCAGTTAGCATTTACTCCTGGCTGCTCGCAGAATTTTTTCTTTTATCTTGACTTTGGACAGGTTCATTACAATGTGTCTTGAAGAGGCTCTGTTTGAGTTGAGATGACCCAGAGTTCTACATCCATTTGAAAGAAATGTGTCAGAGTCTTTAGTAAAACTTTGGAAGTTTTCATTTATGATAGTCTTCAGTAGGCCTTCCATTCCTTTGGGACAATCTTCTTCCCCTTCAGGAATCCCTATTATTCATATGTTTGAATGTTCATGGAGTCTCGTAGTTCTCTAGGCAACTGTTCTGCTTTCTCTCTCCTTTTCTGCCTCTTTCTCTACCTGGGTTAACGCAAAAACTTTTATCCTCTAGTTCTGAGGTTCTTTCTTCTCCATGGTCTAATCTATTTTTGATACTTCCTACTGCATCTTATATTCCCTGATTGTCTCCTTTATTTCCTTAAGCTCTGCCATTCCTTTCTACATTCTACATATCTCTCATCTGACTTTTGGTTCTGTCTTTCCATTTTCTTATCCATTCCCTTTATTGTCTTCATCTCCATACTTTAAATTCCCTTTCTGTCAAATCCATTCATTATTTATAAGTGGACTCTTCTATAGTAGCTGCCTCTGTTCTCTTGAGGGAGTTGCTCTATTTTGGTTTTTTGTGTTGCCCTATTTTTACCATTGGTTCCTCCTCATGTGTTCTTTTTCCTTGTTCACCTTTTTGTCCTCCTTCTTCCTTCCCACTTCCTCCTTTGCTTATCTCAGAGCATAGGTACTGAAGGGGCCTCTTGGTATAAGGCCAAAAGAAAGAGAAGGGCAAAGAACAAGCAGGGAGAAACAAGAGGAAAAGAAAGAAAGAAGGAAAGAGAAAACGAAAAAAAGGAAGGGAATGAAAGAAAAGAAGAACAAGAGAAAGGACAAGAAGAGAGAATGGGAGTGATAAAAGAAATGGTATTGATCAGTATAGTGCTAAGGCTGTGCCTGTAATTCAAGAATTTTGAGGGGCTGGGTTGAGTGGGTTCCTTGAAATCAGGAGATCCTTACCAGCCTAAGCAAAGTTAAACCCTCTGCCAAAAATAGGAAGAGAAAGAATAGAGCAAAAGCCAAAAACAAGTGGAAAAAAAAAATAAATATGAAAAAGAAATAGAAACATTCTGCAATATGGACTTGCCAATAGTATATTCCCAGGGCCAATGGTAAAAGCGATCCCTAGACCACAATCTCTTGGCCTCCTTGAGCCAGACTACTTCCATGACCTCCCTGCCAGACCTCAGCTGTCCCACCTAGCTCTCAGCAAAAAAAAAAAAAAAAGAAAGAAGGAAAGAAAAAGAAAATAACAAAATAAGAGATAAATTAAAAATACAGTTGTATCAAATAAAGGAGAGAAAGGGAAGAGGAGAAAGGAAAGAAGACAGACCACTAAAAGGAGGGATATCTTAGTTGTTGCAAGAGAAATTTATGTGTAAAAGACGAGAAAAGCAGAAGAGTCTCTATTAAAAAAGAATGGAAAAGAGTGAAATAGAATAAATGAGGCTAAAATATCATAACCAAAATACAGAAGCCCTTGCTCTTAAAGTGAAAATAGGAGTTAAGAATAGAACCAAACAAACAAATTGGCAAACACAAAACACCATAAAACAAAACAAAGATGGCTCAGCAACTGTAGCACAGTAGTTATGGCGCCAGCCACATACACCAAAGTTGGCGGGTTCAAACCCAGCCTGGGCCAGCTAACCAACAATGACAACTGCAACAAAAAATAGCCAGGCATTGTGGCAGGCGCCTGCAGTCCCAGCTACTTGGGAGGCTAAGGCAAGAGAATCACTTGAGCCCAAGAGTTTGAGGTTGCTGTGAGCTGTGACACCACAGCACTCTACTGAGGGTGGCATAGTGAGACTCTGTCTCAAACAAACAAACAAAAAGAAAGCTCAAATAGCCAAAAAGAGCAGCAACATAGAAGAAAATAAAAATACTTAAAAAAAAAAAAAAGGACCAACTTTAATAGGAATATATATTTTGCAAAATGTCTCCAGGACACCAGGTGGCACTGTGCTTTTTTAGAAGATGGAGAACATAGCCAGCAACCTCTGTGATTCTTATTCCTGCCTTAGTTACCCTTGGTGATTGCCTGATTGTTTCCTCAGTATTCAAACCCCACCCAGTTGAGATCTTAAAGCTCTTCAGAATCCTTCAGAGACAGGTCTCACAGCACCTCCTGACAACAGTTCCCATGAGGTGTGGGAGTCACTCAGCCTGTCCCAAGAGTGAAGTTCTGATCCTGGCAGGCATAACTAAGGTGGCCAAGTTTTACATCCCTGATAAGAGGCCCATCCTCATGACCTTCTCACGACCTTCCCACGATGGCTCCCCGAGCAGCTCTGACCTTCCCAGTATGGCTGACTCACCAGCCACCAAAGCAATGGCAAACCCACTCCAACCAGTATTCAAATCTGGCTACTGTATACTGTTCTAGTCCATACACTCTTCCAAGCTTCCCAGTCAACATGCAGCTTCCCCACAAAACCAAAAGCTGAAGAAAGGCTTCCTCCTATCCCCAGACCTCCATTGAGGGGGAGGTGGGGGGGCAGCCATTCCTGCTGGCTCCCAATCACTTGCCTAAGGAGTCAGATCTCCACCACTCCAAATCACACGCTGTGTCCTACACACCACCACTTTGTTGTTCTCCTTGAGCTATGACTCCAGGTAAGGTCCCTAATGCTGGGTTCTTTTTTTTTCCCCCCCCAGTCATACTAGAAGAGCTCAGCTGAACCATCCTTCTGGTCTGCTATCTTGCTCTGCCCCTGATTAAACCTTTCGGATCCTATGTCAGACCTCATATGACATAATGATTTTCTTCTTCCTTTCTGATGTTGGAAGACATCTGGCACATCCCCACTCAAAGGAGTGTATGGACCTAAGGGAGCAAGATGAAGAATGTTAGTATATTGACAATAAATTCAAAGAACTTTAGGTACCAGGAAGAAATGTGGCTACAGATGAGAGCACAGTCAGTTCCAATGATCTTAGCTAGATCTTCTGGATAACTCGCTGTAACTTCTCCATCAGCTTTTGCTGCTTCACCGTGCACTTTTATGTTATGGAAATGGCTTCTTTTAACTTCATGAACCAACCTCTAGTAGCTTGAAGCTGGCTTTCTGCAACTTCCTCACTTCTCTCGGCCTTCACAGAGTTGAAGAGAATTTGGGTCTGGTTTTGAATTAGGCTTCTACTTAAGGGAATTTTACGGCTGGTTTGATCTTCTAACCAGATCTATCTAACTTCCTTTGTGCTCCAGTGCTTTTAATTTTCTTCAAGAACTTTTCCTTTGCCTTAACAACTTGGCGCGTTTGGTGCAAGCAGCCTAGCTTTCAGCCTATCTTGGTTTTCAATGTGCCATACTCACTTATGCTTAATCATTTCTTGCTTTTGATTTAAAGTAAGAGATGAAGGATTCTTCCTTTCACTTGAACACTTAGGGGCCACTGTAAGGTTATTAATTGGCCTAATTTCAATATTCACTGTGTCTTAGGGAATATGGAGGCCCAAGGAGAGGGATAGAGAATGGCTTGTTGGTGAAGCAGTCAGAACACACATACACACTACTTTTTTTTTTAAGAGACAGTCTCACTTTATCTCTCTCAGTAGAGTGCTGTGGCATCACAGCTCACAGCAATCTCCAACTCCTGGGCTTAGGTGATTCTTTTGCCTCAGCCTCCTCAGACTACAGGCACCTGCCACAATGCCCGGCTATTTTTTTGTTGCAGTTTGGCCAGGGCTGGGTTTGAACCTACCACCCTCAGTATATGGGGCTGGTGCCTTACTCACTGAGCCACAGGCGCTGCCCCCCACACACTACATTTATCAGTTAAGTTCACTGTCTTATATGAGTGTGTTTCATGGTGCCCCAACAATTACAATGGCAACATCCAAGATCACTGATCACAGATCACCACAACAGGTACGATAATAATAAAAAAAGTTTGAAATGTTGTGAGAATTACCGAAATGTGAAACAGAGACAGGCAGAGAGCACATGCTATTGGACAAAAAGTGGTACCAACAGGTTTGCTCAATGTAGGTTGCCACAAACATTCAATTTGTAAAAACTGCAGCAGCTGCTGAGTGCAATAAAGTGAAGCACAATAAAAATGAAGCATCCCTGTCACAGCATTCTAAACAAAAGTCTCATGTAACCAATTCAGAAGGAGGAGTGAGATAGGAAGCGAACTTGTGCAACATGGAGTTGGGAAGACAAAAGCTAAATCTTCCCTCTTTAGAGCTGAGAGTCAGTAGATTATGCCCCAAACTGAAAAACCAAGAAGTACCAATCCAAGCATGTAATTTAAAGAACAGACGCAGATGCCTAAAGAATCAGCTAAAACAGTTGAAAGTGCTTGCCTCAGAATGAGGAGAAAGGAAGAACTTGGGATCAGGGACTGCTGATTCTCCTGACAAACTGAAGAACTGTAACTGTAACTGTAACTGTAACTTTCAAAACTATGTGCATTATAACTTTGAATGTTTTAAAGTATAGGTATATATTTCTCTCTCTTCTATATCACTTCATTTCACTCAGCAGTACTCAGTTTCAGAGTCACTAGTTCATATTAGCACCTAAAAGTTAATTTTATCTCTTGTCTTGAAGACATTGATAGGAAGGCTAGACCTTTAATAATAATAGCTGCCATTACCTTGTGCCCAGTACTATACTGAGCACTTACATTCTCTCCAGTCCCCCAACAGCCATGCAAAGCAGGTACTGTCTTCATTCTGCAGATAAGAAATTGATGCTTAGAGACATTAAGTAACATGCTAATATGTAGCGGAATTCTCTGAACCCAAAGCCTCTATTCTTCCTTTTTACTTGATCACCTCACCTCTTTCTAGAGTGTGAGTTTAAATGAACTGAGTGGGGGAGAGGGGAGGAGATAGCAGTTCAAATAATTTCTCCTTTGGGGAAAAGGTAGCATGAGAGGAAGAAAAACCCTGAAGGATTCAGAAAAATTAATAGGTAGCTGTCTACAGACTAACCAAGCTTAACCCCCAGGTCGAAATTTCCAGCAGGTCATGTGAGCAGACAATTTTTAAACTCTGGCCGGGAGCCTCTATGATCGCTAAAATAAAAGCCTTGTTCTGCGCTTATTTGGAAATTAAGTACATGTTCCAGCTGTTCCACATGGGCCTAAATACTCTAATGAGAATGCCAAATAGGCAGTTTGTGTCCAGAGAAGCCTGGTCATGATTCCTAAGCTGATTTCTGAAAAGGGACAGGAGTGGTGGGACAGATCATATAGTTGCTTCTCAAGAAAATGCATAGAAGTAACCTGGGTCTCCACTGCTGCACTGGTGGGGAGCTTGGACTGGATGATCCTGAAGGTCCCTTCTGAGTAAGAGCCTAGATTGTGTTTATCTAGGAGTTTAAATCCCTGGGAGCCTTGAGAGTTCTTCGACTACTTTTTTTTCTGAAATTATTGTGGATAGAATCACAACAGTAACCTGGCACTTAAAATCAGTTGGTTTTTTGGCTACAGTATAAGTAAACAACACAGGATAGTAAACAACAAAATGTTGTTTACCTCCCTTATTTCTGAAAAGTCACGGGTAACTAACAAGTGAAGAAACGAAAGTGAAATCAGCTGATAGTGACATCAGTCAGCACAAATGTTCCGAAGTTCAGAGAGCTGTTTACTTAGACACAACTGCGAATGCAGGCGGGCACTGCAAGCCAGGCACGAGCTCAGGACTGCATCTCTGATTCCCTCTCCACTGTCCTCCCTCCTGGAGCCTGCCATCAGAAAGCCAGCGAGAAGGAAGACCAACCAGACGGCCCTGATTTCCTCCTCCTTTTCATGACTGTTCCTGTGGGCTCTGAATCTCCTTTTTGTAAGTACCTACAGATACTGAATACTGACATTTTTTTGAATCTTTCAGTTTCTCTTCCTCTCCCCCTACACCACAGGCTGCCCAGATGCCCACCATCTCGTAAGACAATTTTGTTTTCTTAGATATTACACATTCTAGCATATGGGAAATAATTGACTGTTCAGTGTTTGTGACCTTCTTTTCCCTCTCCTCTGTATGATCTACCCACTGTACTGTCACGGAAAGGTTTAAACGATGGCACCCAGAGACAAGTGGCCATGGGAGTGGAGAAGTTTGGGTCAGCTTTCCTGAAAGTAGAGATGACCCGCCTGGGCAGTGCAAAGATGGTGTCTGCACCGGAGGCAGTTAGAAACCACTTTTATGTGGGGCTCCGGGGGTGAGCCAATTCCACCACTTGCCTGTAAGTTGGGGTCTTTTGGTGTGAACTTCTCAGGGAGTGGGTTAACCAGATCCTCTTTGTCTTGTCTTAGGAGAAAAGAAGGAGAAGGGGGGGAGGAAAAGAGTTTTTGTGAGGCTGCATTAGACCCTCAGCATTCTCAACCCTTCTTAAAGGGGTGGCAGGGATGCTGGTCTGTCTTCTGAAACTGCTTCTGGCTGGAGAGGGCCGTTGTCTTCTTCAGTGGGAAGAGTTATGTGTTGGTAGGGCTGCATGGGTTTGGGGTACATTGGGAGTGTTTGGGGAGTGGTAGGAATTGTGTTGCAACTGTGGCCAACACCTTTTTTACCCTATCTTGAATAAATGAGGATAGGAATTGATGACACAAAGGGCAATGGTCACTAACAGGAGGATTGCAGCAAGGGAGCCCAAGAGGGGAAAGATCCAGCAACCCCACAAGCTGTCAAGCCAAGGCCTTTCACTTTGCGAGCACAGCGTGAAGCTTGTTCCTGGAGCTGGGTGATGCTCTCTTGGACAAGACCAGACCTATTGGTATAGAAACAGCATGCCTCCTATAAGAAAGTACAAAGGCTCCCTTCCCCAGCTGTGAGTGGATCCAAACCTCTACAGTTTGGGAGAACTACTATAGCTAGGGAGTGTACCTGGTTTTTATGAGTTGTAACTGATCAGAGACTTTGGGGAGGCTTTTGGCCAGCTCAATGGATATTAGTCAGAACTGGTGGGTCGCAATCCCTAGCAGTCCTAGTAGAGACTCCTGCCATGATGCCTAGGCCTGCCAGGAGAGGGATTAACTGATGGAACGCTTAGCTCTAAGTAAGGTATGAAGGGGGACCAGAACCTGTTCATTGCCTGGGAGGAGAGATATATCAGGGGAAAGCAGGAGGAGAGTGCAGGTGCCAGTCCAGTTTGTTGGGAGGCATATAGGTAAAGGTCCCACATAGGAAAAAGACACTGGTGGCAAGTGGAAAAGTTGAGGGAAAGGACCAGTTCTAGAGTTCTAGCATATTTTTCAGGGGCCCTGTTGGAATCCCATAGGAAAAAGGTTCCTGCTAGATAGAGTTCCTCCAGTGGCAGGTGGTGTAGGTGGGGGTAAACAGACTGCATCTCAGGGAAGAGGTGAAACTTGGTTTGGTCTAAGTCATAAGTGATATTGTTAGTGGGTAGAGCGATAAAGGGGCAAGAGGCCTGAGTTTCCCCAGAGCTTTTAATCCATTGAAGAAGTGAAGACCAGACAGAAGGCCTGCCCTAACAGAAAAGGGAGTTCCAGTTTTGGGTGTGGGAACCTGTGAGAGTGGGGGGGCAGCTATAGTAGCCTGGCTGGACAAAGCCCAGGATAGCTCCACACAGTTGAAGGGGCCATGGTGAGAGTGACATTACATAATGTCAGGCTGAGAGTTCCTGCTGGGCTCTTTGAATGCCTAGAGGGGAGCCTGAGAGGGCAGAGAGATTACTTTGCCTACAGGCCCCTAGATAGCCCTCTAGAGGGAGAGTAGGGGTTCTGAGGCTTGGGTATGCTGCCTGAGAAGGTTGTTAGCTTGTCTTTGATGTTCACTGGGGAATTAGTTACACCGGGTAATTGAGCAAGAAGAGAAAGCTCTCCCTTTATAAACTGTACTTTAAGGAGGCAGGTGTAGCTGAATAAGAAGTGAGGGACATATGTAAACAGGTCCAACAACTAGATGCCAGGTGGAGTTACACTTTTTGAGCATAGAGTAAGTTAAAGTAAAGGAAGTGTTTAGATAAGCAGGCAAGGAGGGGCCTGTTAAAACTGGACAGAACAGGAGAGAAGAGCAGAGGGAGAAAGAGGAAAGGAGGTCTCTGGTTAAAAAAAAAAAAAGGCTTACGTGGCAGTGCCTGTAGCTCAGGGGGTAGGGCGCCAGCCACATACAATGAGGCTGGCAGGCTTGAACCTGGGCTAACCAGCTAAACAACAATGACAACTGCAAAAAAAAAAAAAAAAAAAAGCCAGGCGTTGTGGTGGGCACCTGTAGTCCCAGCTACCTGGGAGGCGGAGGCAAGAGAATTGCTTGAGCCCAGGAGGTAGAGGTTGCTGTGAGCTGTGACCTCTACCGAGAGTGACATAATGAGACTCTGTCTCAAAAAAAAAAAAAAAAAAAAGGGCTTAGGACGTGCTCCCACGGGTTATCAGGGAAGGATACTTGGAGGAATTCATCAAGAGGAATCTGAGGACTGCTCTTCGGAGATGCTGTGGCAGGAAGTGCAGGGAGATGACCTGGCTGGACGGGGGCTCTGGAGGGTTGAGGAAGGCAGTCATCATGGTTCACAGTTCCTCAGGTATTATCTGGAGCAGGGGTCCTCAAACATTTTAAACAGGGGGCCAGTTCACTGTCCCTCAGACCGTTGGAGGGCCAGACTGTGGGCCCTGGGACAAGTCAGCTGCTAAGCAGGACAGGCAGCGGCAGCAAAATGCCCAGCCGAGTAAATGTCCTTGGTGGACATTTGTCCTTGGTGGATCTGGAGTTTGAGGGAGGTTGGGCCTGTTAAGGTGGAGCTATACTGGACTGTTGGGGTGGGGTAAGGTTTTATTTTTGAGATGAGGAATCAGGTTTGGGGAAACTCAGTTAGCTTAGCTGCTGTAGGGGTGGTAAGAAGGACGCATATGGCCCTTTCCATGATGGGGACAGCCCCTTGGGGGCACTCAGGTGAGTTTTTAAAAGAACTTTGTCTTTGGTTTTAAGTGAGAATGTTGCTTCCCCGGGTCAGGTTGGGTTGGGGCAAGGTAAGGTCAGCATGTTTCTGGAGAAGATTTCATAAAGTGTTAAGAGTTGGGAGATAGTCCCCAAGTGGTGAGGAAGAGGTGACAGTTTTCCTAACAGAAAATTGTAGGCATACATCAGTTCAAAAGGGTTTAGAAGGGAAAGTTACATGGGTAGAGTTCTTAAGTGGGTTAAAGCTAGGGGGAGAAGCTGGGGCCAAGGGAGGTGAGGTTTAGCTCTAAGTTTACGTAGGTGTAACTTTACAGCAGTTCTCAACCTGTGGGTCGTGACCCCTTTTAACTGTATTAAAGGGTTGCAGCATTAGGAAGGTTGAGAACCACTGCTTTAGAAAGTGGTTAGCTTTGTCTACCTTCCCAGAGGATTGAGGACAGTAGGGAATGTGACGATTCCAAGCAATGCCTAGGGCTTTAGACACCCCTTGGGTTATTGGAAATGTGAAAGTGAAAGTTGGTCCATCTTCTGAAAGGAGGTGGGAAGGCCAAAATGGGAATAATTTCTGTCAGTAAGATCTGGACCCTGTCTCGAACCTCCTCTGAAGAGAAAGGGAAGGCTTTGACCCACCCTGAAAAGGATTTTCATCTTCTTTTTAGGGAACATGTGTGCATAATCTATTTGCCAGTCTTGGCCCGGGAGGTGGGCTCTAGCCTGATGGATGTAGTTGGGAGAGGGAAGAGGTGAGGCCTTCGTGGGGGTGGTGGCCTCAAGGATGGTACAGGAGGAGGAGCTTTCTGTTAGAAGAGAGTGGAGAGTAGGGCACAGAATTAGAGGGCATAAAAGGTTTCGAGGGGGTTGCTCCTACATGAAACAGATTGTAGAGTTGTGTAAGGATTTGTGTGGTTTGGGCTGCAGGAAGAAGTCAGATTTCTTTCATGAACCATCCTTGTGTAGGGTGTTTTTTTTTGGTATAGTCAGCCCAGGTAGCTCCCTTCAAGCTAGTTTAGTCCATTTCTGAGGGCCCTTTGTAGTTCTCAGAATGGCTGAGGCCAGAATTTGACTTTTAGCATGATCTCTACCCTGCTTATCTAGTCAGGCACATTTCTCCTGACTTTTAAAGACCTGAAAAACTATTGTGGTGAGGTCTTGTTGGGGAGTTTGGGGGAATTTTTAAAATATGAATTTAGGAAAAGGTTTCCCTCAGGAGTAGCGGGGTGTAAGTGGGTGTGTGAGCAGAGGGCTTCAGTGAGACGGGCCATGAATTGTGCAGGATTTTCTTGGAGTTCCTAATAAATTTCCCTAAGTTTATCATAATTAACTGCTTTCAAGAAGCCTTTTCTAGGCCTGCCAGGAGACAGGTAATCATGTGGTTGTATTTTGCCCACACAGGGTGTGTGGACTGATATTGCCAATTAGGATCTGGTGAGGGGATGGCAGTGGCACCTGGGGTGCTGGTATTGTCCATAGCATGGAGATTGTGCATGCTGTGGGGATGCTTGAAAAAGCCTCTCCCGCTCCTCTCGGAGAAGGGTAGAGTTAATTATCATGTGATGGTCATGCCAGGTGAGGTCATAGGATTAGACCAGGTACTGGAATTCCTTTATAGACTTAGAGGGGTCTGTGGAGAAAAGCTCTAGTCCCTTCTCCATCTGTGAAAGTCTCCCAGGGAAAACAGGACATCAACTTGTATTATTCCTGCAGCACTGGCCACTTCCCAAAGCTGTAAAAGAGGTTCACAGCTCCCTCCACCAGCGACTGTGGGAGTGTAAAGGAATTGGCAGGTGGGAGGAGAGGGAGGGCCTTGGGGTTCTGGGGGAGGATTAAGGAGTTGGGGAACATAGGAGCCTGGTGGTCGGAAGGATTGATGACCCTGTGGAGCAAGGAAGATAGGGTGGTAGTTTAGGGGAAGATAGAAAGGGAGGAGTTTGAGTGACCAGTATCTGGTGGATTGAGCACAGAGGGGCAAGAGCAGAGGGAGACAAAGGCCTATTCACTCTGCCTGCCATTTCTTTGGAGGAAATTATTTAAGTCTTTTAAGATATTAAAGTCAAAGATCTTGTTCTTTATCCAATTTATATTAGGGCCAAGCTACATTGCAATAAAAGATGAGCCTTTTTGAGGCCTAATTTCTTACAATGCTGAAGAAGACAGCCCTCTATGCTGTTAGGATAGAGGGACCAGCTCCAATTATCTCAGATGTCCTTCCCCTTCCTGGATAAACTTGAGGTTTCCAGGACTCCAGAAGCCTAAATTAGGGTCTAGTGTTGGGCCTGAACCAAAAATGAAAAACAAAATGATATGAGGTCCCATATCTCAGAAGGGAGCACAGCC